GGTCCATCTGTTCTAGTGTGTTGTTCAGTGCCTCTGTGTCCTTACTTATTTTCTGTCTGGTGGATCTGTCCTTTGGAGTGAATGGTGTGTTGAAGTATCCCAGAATGAATGCATTGCATTCTATTTCCTCCTTTAGTTCCATTAGTATTTGTTTCACATATGCTGGTGCTCCTGTGTTGGGTGCATATATATTTATATTGGTTATATCCTCTTGTTAGACTGAGCCCTTTATCATTATTAATGTCTTTATCTCTTGTGACTTTCTTTGTTTTGAAGTCTATTTTGTCTGATACTAGTACTGCAACACCTGCTTTTTTTCTCCCTGTTGTTTGCATGAAATACTTTTTCCATCCCTTGACTTTTAGTCTGTGCATGTCTTTGGGTTTGAGGTGAGTCTCTTGTAAGCACCATATAGATGGGTCTTGTTTTTTTATCCATTCAGTGCCTCTATGTGTTTTGATTGGTACATTCAGTCCATTTACATTTAGGGTGATTATCAATAGGTATGTACTTATTGCCATTGCAGGCTTTAGATTCTTGGTTACCAAACGTTCACAGTTAATTTCCTTTCTATCTAAGAGTAACTTAAGTCAGTTAAGTATGCTGTTACAAACACAATCTAAAGGTTCTTTTCTGTTTCTCCTCCTTTTTCTTCCTCCTCCATTCTTTATATATTAGGTATCATATTCTGTACTTTTTGTCTATCCCTTGATTGACTTAGGGGATAGTTAATTTAACTTTGCATTTGCTTAGTAGTTACCTGTTCTATTTTCTTAACTGTGGTTTTATTACCTCTGTTGAGAGCTATTCAACCTTAGAAACAGTTCCATCTGTAGCAGTCCCTCCAAAATAGACTGTAGAGATGGTTTGTGGGAGGTAAATTCTGTCAGCTTTTGCTTATCTGGAAATTATTTAATCCCTCCTTCAAATTTAAATGATAATCTTGCTGGATAGAGCAATCTTTGTTCCAGGCCCTTCTGCTTCATGGCATTAAATACCTCATGCCACTCCCTTCTGGCTTGTAAGGTTTCTGCTGACAAGTCTGATGTTAGCCTGATGGGCTTTCCTTTGTATGTGATCTTATTTCTCTCTCTGGCTGCTTTTAACAGTCTGTCCTTATCCTTTATCTTTTCCACTTTAATTACTATGTGTCTTGGTGTTGTCTTCCTTGGGTCCCTTGTGTTGGGAGATCTGTGCTCCTCCATGGCCTGATAGACTATCTCCTTCCCCAGATGGGGGAAGTTTTCAACAACTACCTCCTCAAAGATACTTTTGGAAGAAAAGAGTTCTCTGGGAATTAAGATTTAAAATGAAGTAACTTTTAACACGAACTAAATTCAAAAATATGTATAAGTCTGAATAATAAATAACTTCAACAACCAAAATAATCTGTTATTTTAAGATGTTTCCATTTCGATAGCATTTGTACACTATTTACAGTGTCTAGGAGGACATATCTTTCACTTGTAAGTCCATAATTTCATTTAAAAAAATACAGACAACACTAAGGAAGTTGGTTCACACAACTGATTTCCATTCTTAGTGTTTACTCAAGGAAATAAGTGATCACTTGGCCAGCAGTGTAATCATATGACTTACAGCAACATCTTTCCAAATCTAAGCTTAGGAATGTTACTGAATAGTTTGGGACAGGACATTACTACTCCTCTCTGTTTCTGTGGTATATGTAGAAAGGATATAATGTATACAGATACGTGTAGATACACACATGTTATATACACATATAAATTTTAATATTTTTTAAACTATTCATATCAAACACAGAGCTTTAATAAACAGGTTAGAAACCAACTCAGTAATCTAAAGCTCATACTCATTAATATTTAGAAATTCCTGAATTCAGATTTAGAGGTTTTCTATGCCTATTACTTTATTAATTTGACTGTCAGTGTTTCATATACATAATGTAGAAAGTGAAACAATTTATTCTACCACTTTCTGGCCTTAATTTTAGGAATTTAAAAAATCTAAGTGTAAAATGTTTTATAAAACTTACAGTTATCTAAAAAGAATCACCATTGTTCTACAAATTACATATTATAACAGTTACTTAAAACTAAGTCATATCATATGTTCATATGATTCAATAATTTTCAGCCTAAAATTTGAAGAAACAAGTTCATTTAGACTAATTAAATTAATTAAAGAGAAGTGGTAATTGCAATAAAATATATCTAATAATGTTCATACTATTGATAGTAAATGAAATAACATGGGATCCTCACAGCAGTACCCTAATGAAGCATCAGTCTGTACTTCTAAATAGCTCTGAAATCAGCAGAAAACAGTCCATGCATAGCCATAGGTTTCTTAGATATGGGTGCTTTCAGATTTCAGCATTTCCAGATTTTTGTCATATTTTTCAGATCCATTGGTTTCTGTCATCTTCTTTATGGTGATCTGAAACCTTTTAGGTCTGCCTCTGTATTTGAATATCTACTTCATATATAACAACAAATAGTATACATAATTTAATAAATTGAAAATGACCATATTTATATCCCACACACCTAATAATTTCCACAATAAACACAGTGTATGTATTATCAAAAGATATTTTCCTTTTACTGTTATTAAAATACCAGTAAGCGACCATTCTTCTCATGGAATTTAAATAATCTTAATTGACATACAAGTATCCCCTGATACATAATATCCCATGCTAATATGTTTGTCCTTAATGCCAAAGCTATTTGAATATGATTTTACTTATAATAAGCATAACACAGGATAATAATCTGGAAGAGTCACTGAGGTCAGCCTTGGCATGATTTGACTTGTGGTTATAACTATATCTTACTCTAAGTTTAGTGATTTCCTCATAATCATGGCCAAATAATTTGTGGTAAAAACAAGAGAAAGTACATATAGTATACATGACATATTACAGCACCAGACAGATTTTCTATTATAAACACTATTTAGGAAAAATGAGATACATGTGTTTTTCAAATGTAATTTTTCTAAGGATCTAAATCTATTTAAAGGCATATATTTTTAAAGCAATAAAACTATACAAATTTTGTAATATAAAGAACAGTGTAAAGAATCCAGTAATCATTCCATTTATTTTTCCAGTTTCCTTGAACTCCCCTTTTGAGTTCACAGCATCTGTTGGATAATTTCATAATTCCCTATGGATTAAGAAGCCAGCAGTTATCTCTAAATTTCCATGGATAGCTTTATAGTTCATTATGGAGTGTGAATCTAGAAATTACCTATACATTGCCAAGATAAAGCTAATATCCATATAACACCTGCTGTATTAATAAATGAACTTGGTAGCTATTTAAGTGATCTATAACAGGAATTTCAGAAAATACTCTATTTTCTCACCAAGGCCTAAAATTCCACCATTGCAAATGACTTATTTTACCTTAAACTATGCTTAAGATATAATTACTAATAAATAAGGTAACATTTCAAGCTATTGGAAATAATTTATATATAGTAGCATAACTTTTTAGTTATTTTACTGACAGCATAGTTTAAAAGGAGAATGGATAAAAAGACACAAAATGGAAAAGAGAAGAATGAAAAAACTAAACTTCACTTGTCAGTTTGGAGACAGCCTACCTCTGTATATTTAGACTAAATATTTGGTATAAATTAAGGACAGGTATTTCTGTTGGGGTATGTGTATGAGAGCTAACACATAAGGAAATCACATACTAACTTTCTGAAGTATAATAGGGTGTGATTAAATGAACTGGCATACAGAATCATTAGCAGAGTGCCTGAGAATAAAAAATGGTAATGATGGTAATGGTAACAGTTTCTGTTGTTATAGCTGCTATAATATTAGCTTTAAGTTGAATGTAAATGCAAGAAAACAAAATGGTTGGCTTATTTTTTATTTTTTGACAGTTTTGTAAGCTTACCTTAATATATTATAATCTTTCAAGTAAAACTTAAAAATAATTTTATCACATTTTTGCCAGAAGTCATGAAAAAGTAAACCACGTTCTTCTAAGCACTATGAGTAGAAAACAACAGAAACATCTAAGAAAGGGATCCTGAATTTATACCAGAGAAGCTGGGCTTAAAAGTTGATTTTACCACTTTTAACAATGAGATTTTGAGCAAGTACTTATCATGGCTGAGCCTCATTCTACTCACCTGTCTAATGTTGATTATATTCATACTTATTCTAATCTAGATTAAAGAAATACTACAAAGTTTAATGGATAAAATGCTTTAAAAGGGTATGAATATTCTGGTGAGATTTGTAATCATTTAGCGTTTATATAGATTTTATTTATATACCCCAAAATTTAGAAATGCTGCTATGAAAAACTCGATTTTCCTCCTCACAGACTAGAGAACACAGCATAGCACAGAATCTTATGCTAATAAAAAGGTTTCAACACTAGGAAAATGAGCACAAGTGAAAATTAGGTGACTAATTAGCTGTACTACCTCAGCCAGGATAGCCTGAGGATGCTCCCAGACCACAGTTTTCTCATTTGTTAAATAATGGGGTATTGGATAATGTCAAAATTTCCTCCCATCTCTGAAATTACTATATTTCCTGGAAAAATTCACTTTCCTTGATTTTTTAAAAATCTGAAATGATAAGAAGCTATAGGAAACTAGTTTCTGAGCTAACAAATGAAGAAGGCATTTACAAAACCTGTAAAATACAAGGGTGAATAGTGCTATCATTAATATTTTAAGCTGTTCATATATTTTCTGTGACATTTTAGCTCCTTTTTCATGGGGATAAAAATCTCTTCCACTGTTATATTAAATGGGTTAGAAGTGTTAAACTTCAAGTTACTTTTTAATCTAATTTATTTTTACATTCTCAGGTATTATTTGATAGATTATTAAAGTGGCAAAAATTAAACTCTGTTGAATGAGATAGACTGTGGATGACAAGGATAACAAGTACATTCATATTTTATTAGGTAAGAAATATACACATAATTAGATTACATTGCTCTGAAATGAACCTCAAGAAGCAAGAACTAAATTACCTGTCTTCCCTTAAGACCCTTCTTTCCACGGACCCCAGGAACTCCCTAAAACATAGAAAATCAAGGGTAATATTTGTTGAGTAAGTGAATTAGACATAACAGATGTTTTTTCCTTAAACATAAGTTAAAGTAATACACCAAAGAGAGAAATAAATTGTTCTTTAACCTGGTGTCATACTTAGAAAAACTTCAATATATTAATTTAACCAAAGTGGCCCCTTTTCTTCCTCATAACAGAATCCTGATCTTATTCAGGAATCCGTCCCATCTGTACTTCTCAATGGGATCCTGACAGTCTTCTGGTGATAATTATTTGTCCAGAGGAGGGCACATGACCACATGACCAAAACCAGAGAAACAGGAAGGTCTTCTTTTCCATACCTACAGGACAATTACTTCCTCTCTGTCTCCCTCTCTCTCTGGCTGGACATAAGCAAAGGTCCATTTAGCCTTTGCACTGGCAATCCTGCAATTTGGGAAGCAGAATTAAGGTAAAGCCATTAGACGAGGCAAACCAGAGAGAAGGACGATGTTGTCACTGTGCTCAAGATCATATAGTGCTTAGCTCCCACCTACCGTACAGTTTTCTGGTCATGGAAGAAGCAGTATGGCGTAGTACTTAAACACTCAGGCACTGGAGCCAGAGTATCTATGTTCAAATCCTAGCTCTGCTCTCTTTGCCTGCATATAGTCTTAGGCAAGTCTTTCTCACAGCATGCCTCATTTTCTTGATCTATAGTGAGAATAATAGTAGTACCTATTTTCTTGGTTTTTTTGTGAGCATTAAAGAAGTTCATTCATACGAAGTATTTGTACAGTACCTTGTATACAGATAACCATTCAATAATCATTTGCTATTATTGTTATCATTGTTAAAAATTTCCTCATCTTTAAGCAGTTTGAATTGGGGTTTTCAGTTACTTGCAGCCCAAAACATCCTAACTGATATAATCACTTTGAAACTTATAATCACATATAACCCTTAGAGTAAGAAATCTGACAGAATTATGTAGATTGGGATTTATAGTACATACATTAGAAGATAGTATTTGTTAAAGTAATAATCTGTCAACTCAACGGTGTTTCATTAGGTACTTATTTCGTGTCTCTATCAAGAGTTCATAGGTGAGAAGTAGCACTCATTTCATTAGGACTTTATACATTTTACACAATATATATAGCCAACTATTTATAAAAATTAAGATAATTGTTTCCTAAAACTTTAGTAGTTTCACTAAATCTCAGCAGGAAACTTAAGGATAATGAAGACAGAATTATATAAGCGGTTTTTCATATAAATATGCATATGTATATTATTGACTTCCAGAAAGGACTCTTTTTTCCCATTTATTTTCAGGAATGATTAGCACTATATTATTTTCTTCTGTTTTTCTCTACTTAAATGTCTTATAACCAATACCCAGTTAGTTATGTCATCCATAGTTTTAATGAGAATTTTGAAGTATCCCATAATATTAGGATATGGTACCACAATATCACAAAATGGTCTTATTGTTATGATTTAAGACAGGACTTGATAGTTTTATACAGACCAGTCAAACTTAGTGAGTATGCCTACTGATGGTCAGTGTCAACACTGGGATCCTTAAATCCAAGATGATAACATTTTGCAAGGACACATAATTATGGTTTATCTACTAGAAAAAAAGTTTACCAGCATCATTTACTAGAAATAACTTCATGCCAAAAGGTCAAGATTGTATCATAAGCAGCAGAGTAATAAACAACGTAAACTGTATATTCTCTTTTGCATCAGTAAGAAGCAGTTTCATTCTTTGCATGATGGATTTGAAACATCTTTAAGAAGGCTGAATCACATGGCAGTTAAGTGGCTTAGCTGTGGAATCACACTGAAGAAAATTTTTTGCAAGTGAAATGACTTGTATGTTCATCAAGGGAAAATCTTCACCTCATCTCACCAAAGAACACAGAACATTTTGATTGTCCAAATCACAGTACATTTAAATTTAGAATATTTCCTCTCTGTGGAAATATTCACAAATAATTACAAGAAAGTGTGGTTCAATTCACTCACTGAAAAAAATATATATTTGCACAGAATTATTTAAACTTACATTGACAAAAATCAGTTTCCAGAAATGAAAATTTTGGCCTGAACAGTACTGCTATAATAACAGAGTTGAATGTTAACTTCTGAATGTAGTTCTCTATTTTTAAGCCTTATGGTAATGGTAATGTTCAATTCTGTTTTTTTTTTCAATTAATATTAATGGTTTAAGTCAAGGAATGTAAAAAAGAAATCACTGAACTGCATATGGACCTGGAAATCAGATGTAATGAAGTTACAAGCTGTACACTAAGATTTATGTATTTTATTGTATGTACCTCAAGTTGGAATGCCAGAATTCTGTACATAACTTAATTCTTAAGTATAACACAGCATTTTGCAAAGATTCTGTCATTATTCATAAGTACCTTTATCTATGAACAGCTATTACCTATTACTAAACTATGAAAAAAAAATGTATCTCTGAGGCTTTGTAAAATATATAACCTGTCAAGAGGTTATAGTTAGGTTGAAATAGAAAAAGGAAAAAAAATTAGTAAGAATGTTTGATATCTTGATCTGGGTAATGGTTACATGAGTGTGTACACATGTCAGAATTCATCAAGCTGTACACTAAGATTTATGTATTTTATTGTATGTACCTCAATGTAAAAAATTTTTAAACAATTATAAAAAACATACTTAAAAATTAATTAATTATAAAACAAAAATTTCATATTGTAATAGTCCAATTTTTTTATTTGAATTTAAAATAGTGTCAACTCCTTCCTTAAAACAAAATTCAGTAAAACTGAAGGAAGTCTAATTATATTTTTGGTAGGTGATTTTTCTTAAAGCTAGCTTGCTTCACTCAGAAAGACAGCTGAGTTTATGACCCTTACTGTATGTTATTATAAGTATATCACTTTATAAATAATAATTGAAGGAAATGGACTTACTCGTTCTCCTTCAGGTCCCAGTTGTCCTGCTTCTCCAGGAGAGCCAATGAAACCCTTAAAGTAAGTAAATAATCTCTATATTGTTTCATTTGAATATATACTCTGTAATAATTCCAAATAGAGATACTTACACATTTTTTTCATAGTAATATGAAACCATAAGGTTTAACAGAATGAATAACTTCTGCTCACCTTATTACTTTTCTTTCAGAAGTTACAGATCAATCTTTTATTAAAAATCAAAGTAAGGAATGTAATGAGACATGGCAGCTAACAATTTAACAAGACCAAGTCCTTTTCTTCTATGAATTTTGTATTGGGCAGAAAATATATGTACATGATTAACTAATAAAATGTTAAGGCAGAATGGAAGTATCAAAAGATGATAAGAAGTATGGAAAAGAAAGAGATTAATTCCAATATGGCAGGAGATAAAAGTAATCAAAGAAGGTTTCAAAGGAGACCAGCACTTGAGATAGGTCTACAGAGCACGGAAACTCTTGATAAGCAGAGGATGGAGAAAGATCCCTCCAAGCAAAGCAATTTCAGCAAGCAGACACATAACAGAGAGAACTCAGGGAGTATTTTTAAGTGGTAACTTTGGGTAAGTGTGGTAGTGCCCTTGTACCAAGTTGAATTTCTAAAATATCAATCCATTGATAGGATACAGAATACATCTGAGATAGGAAACACTGAATGTAGAAAAACTTCTTAGGAGTTCAATGGTCCAAAGTTGAAGGAAAATGAGTCTGGATCATTGATTCAAAAAATATTACTTTAGTGCCCACTGTGTGCCAGGAACTGGCATTATAAAGATGAATATGAAAGTCAGTGCCCTCAAAAAGTTCACAGCTTATTAAGAAAGAGGGTCATGTAAATAAATAATTATAATATCATATGATAATTGTGACATGATTATGTGATATGCGATGTGAAAAATACAAGATACAGTGGAAACTTTGGAGGCAGAATGACCAACTTTGCCCAGAGGGAAGATTTAGGAAAGAGGAAGCAACATCTGATTGAGTCTTAAAGGGAAGGAAAGGCATTCCAGGAACAGCTAACAATGTGCCTGCCATTAATCAATCATTCAATAAATCAATAGGAATTAAATGACAAGGCATTTTCATAGAACTGCAAATAGTTCTCTGTGGTTGACTGGCAAGAGATAGGGCTGGAAAGGGTAGCAGTTTTAAATTTATACTGTGAGCAATTAAAAACATTTAGGCATAGTTTTGATATAATCAGATTTGAGATTTATAAAATTCAGTAGCATTACAATGGGTCAACACGTCTTTGTATATGTTTCTTAAGATGGAGGCAAAGATGACTGTAAGGTTGGGCTAATAAGCAAATGGTAACTACTGACAGAAATACGGAAAACAAATAAAAAGGCAGAATTTGGTAGAAAGAGGCTGAGTTTTATTGGTCATTTTGAATTCTCATGATGTTGAAGCATTTAAATGTTACTATCTTGGCAAGGAATTGGAGATAGGGATGCATAGAAAGCTCATAGAGAGAGATAACATTTGAGGAACAGGTGTGTCAGAAGACTTAAGGGTAAATGAAAGCTCAAGGAGAAAACAGAAAAATATCACTGAATGAGATGGTGAAATGGAGATGGGACAAAAAGAATGGTTTATTGGTACAGAAAAAAGCAAGGTATAAAAGAATTCATAGGAGTGATACAGGAGACTATTTTGACTAAATTCTAAATAAGGGCTACTTATTTTTGAATCAGAGAATGGTGACTTTTCAGAGTAAATGCTTCCATAATAATATATATTTAAAAAATTATTCAAGTTTTAATAAAGTAAGTGTCATTGTAGACACATAGCAGCATTATTCATAATAGCCAAAAGTTAGAAACAATGCAAATGTTCAACAGATGAATAAACAAAATGTGTTCATAAACAAAATCAACAAAATGTATATACATACAGTAGAATATTATGCAGCCTTAAAAAGGAAGGAAAGTCTGACACAAGCTACAGCATGGGTGAACCTTGAAGACAACCAGGTTAAGTAAAATAAGTGAATAAAAAGAATAGTTATAGTATGATTACACTTAAATGAAGTACCTAGAGTAGTCAAATTCATTGAGATAAAAAGCAGAATGTTTGCCGGAGGCTGGAGGGAAGGCAGTAATTGTTTTACCGGGTATAGAGTTTCACTTTGGGAAGATTAAGTTCTGGAGATGGATGGTGGTGATGGCTGCACAACAGTGTGACTGTACTTAATGCCTCCTGATATGGACTGAATTATCTCCTCAAAACTCATATGAAAAGCCTAATTCCCAATGTGTATTTGGAGGTGAGGCCTTTGGAAGGTAATTAGATCAGTAGAGCCTTCGTGACTGAGATTGGTGCCTTTATAGAAGAGATGTGAGATAGATGATTGCTCTCTGGCCATATGAAGATAGAGCAGTAAAGCGACTGTCTACAAGCCCTGAAGTAGGTCCTCACCAGACACCAGATTTGCCAGCATGTTGATTGTGGACTTCCCAGACTCCAGAACTGTGAGATATGAATGCTTGTTTTTTAAATCACCCAGTCTATAGTATATTTTTTATAGCAGCCTGAATTAAGACACCACTGAACTGCATACTTAGTAATGGCCAAAATGGAAAATTTGATATTATGTATATTTTACTACAATTATTTTAAAAAGTAGATGTCTCAGGAATCAATTCTATGTTGCCTGGAATAAGAACCTTGGAAGAGATTTAGTTCCTGAGGGTGAAAGCTAGTTAGGCCTTTCCAAGAGAAGAGGAACATTTTTCTATGACAAGGAAAAATACCTTTAAAATTCCCTATGTGCTACAGATTGTAAGAACAAGCAAAAAAGAAAAAGAAAAAGAATTACAGTTGACCCTTGAACAACATGGGTTTGAACTGTGTGGGTCTACTTATACATGGATTTTTCTTATTAAATACAGTACAGTACTATAAATGTATCTTATTGTTTTTATGATTTTCCTAATAGCATTTTCTTTTCTCTAGCTTATTTTATTTTGACAATACAGTATATAGTACATATAACATACAAAATATGTGTTAATTGACTATGATATTATCGGTAAGGTTTCTGGTAATAGCAGGCTATTAGTAGTTACGTTTGGAGGAAGTCAAAAGTTATACACAGATTGTTGGCTACTTAGATTTTTGCTAACCTCCCACATTGTTCCAAGGGTCAACTGTAGGTTCCTTCTACTTAACATTAATAAGTGAATCAGCTATAATTTGTTTGCTTGAAAGCTGGGCATCTGGAGATGGGGAAGGTTTCTTTTAAAATAAAGCATCAAAGAGTGTTTCTGATACCAAAACATTTAGGACTATGATGACAAGCTGCACATATTTTCTCAGAATCATTAACAACAGATGGCTTCAAGTTTAAAAATGTTAACTTTTGTTTTAATATATACAACTGGAGTTTTGCTTATAAATAAAAAGAACAGACACCCTAACTGGTGTACATTTATCACTAAACTAAATAATCAACTGAGAACTCAGGAGCTGAAAAGTCAGACTTCTACTCAGCATATTCTGCACAGGGTACAAACACAACGTTTTGGAAGTAAATATTTTAATGAGTAATTACACAAGTGTTTCACAAAGGTTTCTATATAATTATCATGATAATTCTAACAAATAAAATTTCAGCAGCATCCACCAAAGAAATCGCATAGCATTGTAGACATTCTTAAAACTCCACCCTTACTGTATAATGTAACAAAGAACATAAAATATATATGTATGTTTTTGCTTTTTGGATTAAAAGCCATATATGCAGTTGGAGGCATTTTTGTGTTACCAGCAGGGCCACTGAAAGGCCAGAAGAGACCCTACACACCTATTTTTTGAGGCACCTTGCACATATTAATACCCAAGGAATTCCAAAGGAGGATTACAAAATGATCACCTGCTTTAAATATTTACATCTAATAAAGTAATTATCTTAGCACCAAAAAATGCAATCAGATAATGTGCCAGCCAAAAGATCATTATTACATGATTTATAAAATATTAATTTACAGTGCATTAAGTGTGGCATAGTCCAATAACAGGACACAAATTAGACTAAAAATATATTATAATCCTGTCAGCATGTTTTTATGACTTTTGTCTTATTAAATACATTTAGAGTTTATGTCAAAAATCTGTATTTGAGACTCTTTGTGAATGTGAAACCTACAAATGGCCCTCCTGAACACTCCCAAGGAAAAAAATGTTTCAGAAAAAAATATTCAATTTGTTATTTTTTAAAATGCTTTTATGAATTTGGCCATCAAAATCTAAAAGTTACAACTTAGACAATAATTTCCAGTGCAAATGGTGAAAAAAGCAACAAGGAAAGAATGTGTAATATAGTGCAAAAATGGTATAAAGAAAAATTTAGAAAGGTTATAGGAATCAATGAAGCAATACGAAAAGAGGCAATAAGAGAAAATTGCATGATAGTGCAAAATAACATGTCTTGGAGTTACTCTGGCTACACAGAAGAAACTCCCCAATTTCAATAAAATAACAGACTCTGCATAGAAAGTGTGTGCCATGTCCTAGGCACTGTGCTTTAACAATGTTAACCTAGGTAGTTCTCATAACTACCTTAAAGGTAAGTTTCACTATCACCATTTAATGATTTAGGAAAAATGAAGCACAGAAGGGTTAAGTGACATCTGAAGTCATAAAGCTAGTAAATAAGGGGTTAAAAAAAAAAAAGCAGGCTTCTCTGACTCCAAAGCCCATGTTCTTAACCACTAATCTCTTCTTGCTTCTCAAATCCAAGTTAACATGTGCTTTGGATGCAGTTTCTCATAAAAAAAAAGTGACTTTTTCCCATATTTTCACTTTAATGCAAGGGTTTGCAGAAGACAGTATGGGATAGCAGAAGGAGTCAAGAACTAAAGGTGAAAAGACCGTGGTTCTAGTTGTGGCCAGTTATGACTTTGCCAACTTGTGTAAATTCCTCAGCTTACTATTATCTCATCTATAAAATGGAGACTATTCTCCTGCTTCACAGCACTGATAGCAAAATAGAAGAAGAAAATCTATATTAAAGTATTTGAAAATATTTAAGAATTAAAAAAATTTAAAACATTAGAGGGCTCACTGTTTAAATACTTTATACTTTATTTATTTCAAAAAAGTATTTTAGATAATATAAGGCACAGATGTAGATTCTGGAAAGTAAGTAGCTATTAAAAATAAAGAATTTTAAAAACAAAAATTTTAGTTTACTAATTTTTTCTATAACAAGTGTTAATTTTAATTTCTAGCACACTATATAACATACCACAGTAATTTTTTTTTTACTCCCTTAATGATTGATAAAAATGCCTAACAACTCCTTTAATGGTTTGGGCATGCAATGGTATATTCTTGATACGATAAGCTTATTTCCTTCTTTACAGATATTTCTTCACTCCAGATAGTTTTTGCATCATCATATTATTTCAGCCTTGAATTAATGTAAATTTTTTTGCCTCTTCATGTTTTTTTCATCATGATTTCTTAGGTCTATACATATGCATGTATAAACAATACTGCAGGTGTTTAGAAAACGTATTCTAATAAAACAGACATTACGCTAGGAACTAGAAAATAACAGAAAAGAATGATGTAAAACCTACCACTATATGACTGCTTTCTGTGGCTTCACAGTGAAAATGTCTAGTAAACAAGCATACTTATTTTCAGGCTAAATCTGCATTACATACAAAATTCCTACAAAAAAGTGAAAATGGTAGTTTGTGTATTTCAGTCTATTTTTATGCAAGCATGATTAACAAGATGATGAAATTCTTACTTACTCGTACACCTTTGGGACCTGGATTTCCTTCTGCTCCAGCTAAACCCTAGAATGAACAAAAGACATAATAATCATATTACAGCATTTTTTAAAGAGTTGTGAATAAACAGATTAATAAAAAAGGGCATATAAAGAGGTATCATTTTCACAACTATAAAATTCAGAACTCTGTATACCTAATGAAGACTATATATGTTCACGGAATTTTAGAATTTCAGAACCAAAAGTCACACTGTATATAATCTATACACAAGTATATTTTTGATATTTAAATAATGTAAGTTAACACACATTAGACACAAAAAAGTAATTTTTCATTAAATTATTTCTTATTGGAAACTTATTTTAAAACACTAACTTATCTAAAATACATCTCATAAACTTTTTAAAAGAAATACATTTTTAAGTTCATATCAATGTCTATATGTTTGAGTATATTTTGTGTTTTTCAGATAACACAAATCATCACTTGGTGGTAAGACTCTGACATACAATACCCTCTATATATTTTTAAGGCCTAAAAAAATGGAATTTTATGAACAATAGATTATTTTTTGGCATTTAAAAGAGATTACAAATGAGTTTTCTAGAATGCTAAATGAATAATTTCAAAATAAATAATCAATGCATGAAAACCTAGGAAAGAAAATTTGTTCTTTTATTAGTCTACATGAAGTAGAGAAAGTTAGAAATTAAAGGGAAACAAATATGAAATGAATTAAAATGACTTTCTAAAGTAGTACATAAAGAGTGAACTCAGAAGCATTTGGCAGGGGTATTATATATATGAAGCACTGCCATCTGTGCCCCAAGTTCTTATACCTGTGTTAATAAAAAATGATATGATTTATACAGTTTTAACTCTTTACTTTAACCATTACATCATTTTAGTCAGTGGCAGTATTGCAAAATCAGCAGGAGGACTACTTTAAGATCTCAGTAGAACCTTGGGCATTTAATTTTGAAGATTCCACTCTACATCACAACAAACATATTTTAAAAACTAATTTTAAATAAAACTTCCTGCAATAAAATTTGTGAAGAATTTTTATAATTTTGATATTGAAATTATTTTGCTTTGTGCAATCTACCATTTAATAAAAATAAACCAATTATCATTTCAACATTAACTCCAGAAATCAGAACATACAGGGTATGACTGAAGAGGAACATAAAAGAAGTGTAAATATAGTTACCTCACCTGCCTGCCAGGGTAACCACGTGAACCAATATTACCAGTGAATCCTGGAATTCCCTGAAATGAGAAATAAAATAAATAAAACAATACAACAAAGTCAAAAGAAGCCCAATGAAACAAATTTGATAGAATTATAATGCCCAAGCTTGGAAAGAATTTTTTACCCATAAAAATACTAAGGATCCTGCACATTGCTTATCTGATTGAAATTATCTATTTGAATTAAAATGAGCCAAATTGTTAAACAAAAATGCATAAAACTTTTTGACTAGGCCCCTAAATGTTATATCAATGACTAATTATGACAATTAATAATGATAAATATAGAATGGAAAAATCTAGTACAACACAAATAAAGAAGATATTTGTTCTAGAGAGAGTTGGTACATTCCTTAATAACCAGTATCTTCTGGATTGAATTCCTTCTTGTCTAAATAATTCTACAACTCTCCTTAATTGTCTGAGCACGAGACCTAGAGACTAAAAGGGCAGGAAACTTCAAAACCAACCTCTTCTTCCTTTCTAAAGTAAACCTATTCTTACAGCAAGTCTAAGTAAATGGATATTAAGTAGTAAATGCCTGTATCGTGACATAGATTTATCTAAAACTTCACTCAGTAAATTTTGGATAATAAACTCATTTTAAATTGACAACAGTGAATTTTTTATTTAAAACAAGGTTTGCTCAAGGAAAGCTGATAAAAACTCAAAAGCATAAGAAAGGAGACCTGTTGCAGAAGTGGATAGAAAAGTGAGAAGAAATAGCTCCATTTGTCTCTGCTTTCTTTCACTGACACATTAGTCACCCATTCATCCGTTTATTCAGTCAACAACTACTAAATAATTTTTGAACCAAGGAAATACCAGAAGAATGTATGCTGAGCTGCCTTTATTTGTCACAAATGGTGAGGACAATGTAAATTTCACAGATTCCTTATGTATTATGTAAAATTCATTTCATAGTTGTAAAAGAGATAATAAAAGATACTAGCTCTTTGCTCTTCTGCTCGGGCATAGACAGAAGAGTGCTACCTCCATTTTAAGTATAGGAACACTATAAAACTCCTCAAACTTTGGAAAATCTAGAGAAAGAACAGGCCAAGGAAAAATAAATGGAAGATCATAGTTGAAAAGCTTTTGCCCTCCAATTCCATTAGAGACATAGGATCCTGATAATGTCTGTTCACTTTTCTCAGAATTCATCTCTTGATTTTGTTCTCTTATGAGTCTCACCCCTTTCACCCCTCCTTCCCTTGTCCAACAAGTACCATGTACTGAGTGCCTTTTATGTGATAATCACTATGTTCTGCACTTTATACCTATTTCACATCTAGGAAATACTATTTTCTCCATTCCACATTTGAAGAAACTAAGGTACAGACAAGCTATGAAATTTGTCCAAGATGCCACAGTGAATAAGTAGCAAAGCCTGCATGTGAACCCAGACAATCTGACAGAAGTCATGTGCACTAGAATTATAGAATAAAATTTTTCCCTATATGTGGAGAGTTATATCCTATGACTCTCAGAAATCATGCTTATGTACTAAATACTACCTTAATAATATTATATACAGTATATGATATTTTATTCCTATAACACCATTTATTGAGCACCTATCATGTGTCAAGCACTATTTCAAGTATTTTATATGTATTATCTCATTCAAACTGCTCAAACCCTGTAAGGTATCATTATCCCTATCCTTCAGATGATAAAAATGAGACATAAAAGCATTTGTCACTGGTGGAGTCACTCAGCTAGTAAGTGGGAAGCCAGGATTTAAATTAAGTCTGACCCTGGAGACCACCACTCAAAGCTGCCTCCTTAGCATAGTTTGGAAGTGTAAATACCTTCCAACAGTACTCTAGGGAAAACCCTCCAACTATGAGATTTGCTGCAGTCCATTTACAACCATTTCCTTTACGCCTCATGCAATTCTAAAATACACAGGCTTATATCCAGATATTCATAAAACCTTGTTATATTTGGGTATGCCAATAGAAAGGAGTGAAACAAATTACAAAGGTCGTTTTTATTCCGTAGGTCACTCTCTGGCAAAGGCCAACTACCATCCCTTTTATTACTTTTCTAACCAAATTAGATTGACTTCTATCAAAAAGCTTTCTGTTTTAAGACAGAAGTGAAATCTGATTTTGAATGGATTTTCATAGAGGCTGTTAAGGCAACATGTAGAGATCTAACACATTTCAGCTGCACAGAGAAAAACACAGAAAAGAATTCGGCTGGATGGCTAAACTCTGCTTTATTGGAACAGCCATAAACAAAGTAAACAATAAGCATTCAGCATAGTTTTATGCGGGGTAAACATATTCTAAGCCAACCAACCCTAATATCAGACACTCACAGAAGTTCAAAAAAAAAAATTAAAACAACACTATGACTTAAATATTTAATTAAAAATGGTTTTAAAATAAGTTGGTCCACTTAAATATGTAGATTGAACGGAGGAATGTAGACAGAAAGCTCTATCTCCAGCCCCCGGAGAATGAGGACTAGGAAGTCTGCCCCATATTCTCACTCTGAGCATAGCAGCACACACTCTGAGTGAGTCAGACTCCACTGAGGATCCCAGCACAACTCCGCGGGGCTGCTCCACATCTCGGCTCTTATCAGTAAAATCAAATAATAACCTAGGTCACAGGATTATTGTGCGATGAAAACAGGGCAGTATGTGGAAGTATACTTAAAAGTGGAAGTAACTGCAATAATTCTTAGTGTGTTGAATTAGTTAACATATGGAAATATTCAATAAATAATTATACTACTAGAAGTTGTAGTTAATAGCAGTACAGTTGGCAACTAATAAAGACTCAGTAAATGACAGTTCTTATTATTAGAGCTTGCACAGATGATATAATTACTTTTCCCAAGTGTTTGCTGAGCAATTTATAGATTATTTACAAATTTTCCAGAAGTGAATGTTTCTTAACAAATTAGTTATGCCCCTCTTAATGTCCAGTGTTCTCAGAGTTGAAAAGCAAAATGATTTTAGTTGTTCTTCACAGTTATCACCAGCTTTGCTGTTTTCCTGAAAATAAATAGGAAAGAACTGACTCCAAAATATAGTTTCCAACCTTTAAATTTGATTTTAGACTTCTCTAAACAGCATGCCTCAGGACAACAGCATGTGTACTAAGAGAACTGGTTACACAGCAATTGTAAGAGAACTGATCAGTACTGACAGATGATCAAATTTTCACTTACTTGTGAAATATCAGATTTTCTTCACTGGAATCCACATGTTTCTGCCAAAGCAGCTTTCTAAGATTTTTTTTTTCCCATCTCCAAGGACTAATCCCTCCCACCCTGGCCTTCTGATTTTTTTCCCATAAATGCTCAATTGCTTTTCAGCATGTTTGATTTTCAGGCCACTGAGACTGCACCTGTTACGGATACATACAGTGACCCCTGAACAACGTGGGAGCCAGAGGCACTGTCTCCCGTGCTGTCGAAAATCTGTGTATAACTTTTGATTCCCAAAAACTTCATTACTAATAGCCTACTGCTGACCAGAAGTCTTATGGATGACATGAGCAGTTGATTTTAACACAAACTGTGTATGTACTATATACTGTATTCTTGCAATAAAAAAGGCTCGAGAAAAGAGAATGTTTCTTCAAGTTGTCACAAATCTCCAAAAAGTTTTCCAATATGCTGTGTTTATTTATATATTAAGTGGACCCATACAATTTAAACTCAGGTTGTTCAAGGTTCAGTAGTATATTGCTCTGCTTGCCATGTCTAGTGATTAGTAATCTTGAAAAATTGTGCCTCAGGGACTGAACAGAATGTACCGTCCCACTTGGCATCAGTGAAAGAGAAAACTGGCTTCATTTCTTCATTTATATCTATCCCTCAGGGACAATCCATCACATTTCTTTCTGGAGCTCCCTTTAGGGCTCCCTGGGGCTCTTTGCTGAATCTCTAGTAACGGCATCCATTACCCTAGGTTCTAATCTCCTGCCCTTTTTACTGCTCTTTTCATACTGGCCTAGTACACATTGCATTGCAACTAAGAAATATGACTTTATTTTTTCCTATAACATAATGATATATTATTTCTTGGTAGGGGGAGAGAAAAGGAATAACATGGTCAGTAATTTGGGAACTAAACAGTCGCCAGCTATTTTGATTTTTAAATATATTATATGTGTATAATGGACAATAGCATATATGCCATTCAAATTTGTACTATTATTAAAATTTATTTGCATTCCCTCAAGCAAGGGTGAGGAAACTAACAGGTATGGATAGGCTTTAGTAAACTGTACAAAAAAATCACATGTGTGCATGGGCAGGTGCACACATGTGCAAGAATATGTGTATTTTCTGGGGAAAGGGTTCATAGCATTTATGAGTTCTCAAAGGGGTTATGAATCACAAAGGTTTAAGAACTGTTTTTCTGGAACATGTTAGGCAGATAATGAAAGTCAGTCTGGGATCTGAAAAAACAAAAACAAAACTGTGACAGATAATTAAAAGTTTGTTCTGCACTGAACAGAGTAAAAATCATTGAGAAGAAAAACTGAAACAGTAAATAGGGTAAAATCATCTCTCAATGCAGCTCCCTAATGTGTGTCTTTTACTGGAGGATATACACGTTTTATGAAGGGAGTACTTACTTGTTCACCTCGGAGTCCTGGGAGCCCTGGGTGCCCCTTGAGACCCTGCAAGGATGAAGGTGAAGACATGCTATGAACAGTAAACCCACGTAAATCAAGAAACTAACACAGTAGAATGTTCTAAGTTGTCTTTTATCCCAACTTTTGGTTTCTTCATCATTACAAATTTAATTCTAATTTATTTTTTATTAAATTTAATCTTTTTAATGTAATAGGAATTCAATTTTTATTAAGTAATATATTAATTCTTAATTCTTAATTAATTTTGACTGTTGTGTTATCAACTAAAATGGCAGACTAGGATTGAATAGAGAATAAAAAAACAGCCTCTTTTAGAAAAGGCAGGTATCCAGCAATAGATTTCCTAAATTTCGCTGAGACTTTTTAAAAGTTAGTTTTAGCTATTAATGCTGAAGCAAAATACCCTCAGATATAATCTGTTTGTAATTACAGAAACACTGGATCATATCCAGGCAGTTTCCCTAATCCAAATCATTGTCATAACACTCCATCTATGAGCTAAGACAAATGAAGGAGGCTGCTCACAGGCCCATCATCTGGGGTTTTATAAGGCTAAGAAATTAGTAAAAAAAAAAAATTCAAATAATAGAGCCAAAATCAAATCTTTAATATCAATTATTAACACCTGAACATATATAATAGATTATTCTTTTTCCTCTAGAAACATCTTCTCCGAGCAAAATGAAAGAAGCTTAAAGAAGGACAGGAAGAAAGCAATACAGGAACACTTTTGAGTTATTTGTATATCGCTTATCAACAATCAGTAAATCAATCTACTGTTTACTACATTTTGGCCTATATAAAAAAAACAAGAAAAAGTTCCCCTTTTTAAGAACCTCATAGGATTTTAAACAAATTATAACACAAAAAAATTGAAATAAGTTACAATTTACAAATATCCAAAACTTCAAATTAATATACTGCAAATTCAAATAAGTTTTTGGCATTTCAGCATGTAGACTAAAGGAATGAAAAGAATTATTCTGGATTAAACACTTAAGAGATTATCAACTTGGATTAATGAATTAGAGAAGGAAATGATGCTTTGGTTAGATAATGGGGAAATCAGAAGAGGTACCTATTTGAAAAGTAGGGAAATGATTTAAGCAGCTTTTGAGATGTTAAACTTAAAACAACAATAAAATGTTTAAGAAAGAAGTCTGTTGAGAACCTGAGAGACCAGAAAAAGTGATAAAGCAAGTTTGGAGACAAAGACTTTCATGTCACCTGTATGTTATATAAAAGCATATTAGTAACAAGGAAGTAACAGAAGGAAGAAACAGGGCAGAAGAAAAGGCCTGTCCTCCAGGACCTCAGTTCCTTTGCGACTGGGCTATTAGAAAGAGATCAGAGAAGTGGTGATGAGAAAGAAGGGTTACAAAGAGGGGGAAATGTAAGGAAGGAACAAAAGCACTTTCACTAAACTGCTCTGCACATAAGGAGGAATATGTTGTCACTTCAAATACTTAATTCTGTAACAATGCTATGAAGCAGGTGTCCTTCCATTTTTACAAGTAAGAAAACTGAGCTGAGAAATTAGATGATTTCACCAAAGTCGTGTAGGTAGTAAGGTGGAATCATATTGGCTTGATAGGTTTATCAAGAATTGAGTAGCCTGCCTACCTTTCTGTTTGAGGTAGGACAGAGGAATGGCAGGATGAAACACACAAAGGGCCTGAGTTGGCTTAATTAGCCAGATATGGAAGTTGCAGTCAGAAAGGCCTGAGACTGATAAGAAAGACGCAGCAGAAAAATACAGCTGGAACAAGATCAAACAAACCAAGATGATGCAATTTGCCTGAGAACAGACCTCTAACTTCATTACAATCTCAGTTACCTAGTAAGAATAATGCCCGTCAGCGCCATGACAGTTTATAATTGTCAACCTCCTGGAAGTGACCTAATAAGGAAAAGCTCCCTTTTCTAAGAATCTCCCCAGAAAAATCATGACTATTCCACCTCCTATTTTATATACTGGTTATATTTCAAAAAGAGTGCTAACAGTCCACCAACGGGGTGTTAATCTGCCTATGGAGTAGTCTGCTATGCTTTGTCGTATAATCTATACTTTTTGCCTCACTAAATCTGCCTTATGCCATATCTGACATTCATTTCATTTATATCCTGCACATAGCCAACAGGCCTCCACTACAATGTAGGCCTAAGGGCTGGAGCCTCCCGCTTCTGGTGTAACATATTTACTTTATATGCCCATAGTTGGCTCAGATTCAAATGCACGGGAAACGGCACTCCATCCAAGGGTGGCCGACACACAATCCAGTCAAGAGCCTATAAGGTCACTTGGAATGAAGAGTTTTGCCTAAGTAGGGAGAAACTGGGCCAATCTCTCTCTTTAAAAAAAATCGTTCAACTATTAAAATAGGAAAGAAAGAAAGTAGTGGGCACTGAAGCTGGAAAGATTCCCAAAGAAAGTTTAAGAGGAAGGTTAGGGTGCCAAAGTATAAGTAAAAGCTTCAGAGTAAGCAGAAACTATGTTGAGAAAGAAAGCTGTTGTCAAAGAAAACAGAAAGTAACACAAAAAGGCAGATGCAGAGAGTAGAGTAGCAGTACTAAAACGTTCATTAATGAACTGATGGAGACACTTGGATGAATGAATGAATTGATGGAAAGACTTGAATGGACATGAGTGCTACTTGGGTGGAAAATAGATTCCAAGTATTTAATATGACACTGATTTGAGAAGAAAACCATAAGGAGGAAGTTGACCATCAGCACTGGGTGAAACAATGCAAGCAGTTAAACTGATGAGTAGCGATGTTCATTTATTCACTAATAATATGTGCCATACCTTTAACATAAGGACTCCTAAATCACAGATAGATTTCTGTTTAGTCACTGCTACTGCACTGTTGTCTGAAAGCCAATATTAAATTTTCTCTTTCTATAATGTAATAACATTAGTTTACAGATTAGGTAATTCTAAGTCTATAACGAAATTTGTCAAACAGTACAGAACTCATGCCAGCAATGCCTTGAGGAATACAGAAAAAGCCCCATAAACATGTTTTGGCCAAAATAAGCAGAGAAAGCTATACAAAACTGAGAAATAGTGATGATGACCATAGTTGATTAAAACAGAAATCCTAAGCAAGAATTCAGAATGAGATGGAAATCAACAACCATGAGAAAGCAGGCACTTCTTGGAGTAAGGCAATAAATGTCCTGAATTGCTAGGAATAAGGAGTTTATTTTAAAAACAACTAAATAAATAGAAGCATGATCCCAGATAATTGAAGTGCTTGAGGAGACTCAAATTATAGGATAAATACCGCACAAACCTGTCTCCTCCACCTCCCTTTCTTCTTGGAATAGACTCCCCTTATACACACATATTTGTACCAGTCTTTGCCCCAAACTTCTCCCAATATTGATCCACTAATACCCTTCAATTAGTACTCAGTTTTTACTTTGATCCCATCAATGCTAGCTATCTATAGCTCTTCTCAGACAGTTCTCAAGGAGAAAAATTTTATAATAAACTAATTCTCAAAATGGTGTTAAATGACAGATAACAGGTTTTGCTTGAGGACACAGAAATATAAGAAAACAAACAAAAACTTCTAGAACTGAAATACTTTTAGTCAAATGAATTTATCCTTAATGTTATACTGTCAATCACAAGAGCCAGACTACAGAAAATAACTGGACAAAGAGTAGTTTTCAAAGTCCCACAAACTACACCACTTTGGCAACCACCGGCCTGCCTGTGGGGGAGTTCAGTACTGTGCTGCCTTGTTCTCAGCATCCCCTACAATCAGTGGGAATGGTGAACTGCAGAGGAAAAGGTAATGGTGGTGACAGCACAGTCTCTAAACAGCAGCATTTGTATGAGACTTTCAGCACTACACTTGGACCAGGAATAAACCCAAAGTAAAATGTAGTTCTGCAGATTTTTATAGGGATAAGGCAAAGATGATACAATCTACAAAGTTAACTGTGAAACAACAGAACTCTCCTTATTTCTCTCTCCAGACACTGATTTTATGCCAATTCTGATTTTCTATTGCTGATCTCATTTATGTTCAGTATTGTTGTAGCTCCTTAGTGCTGTCCTTGCTTTAGATTATGAAAAGCTGTATATTTTTTGAGCAACTGATAAATCATATCTTCCACTTAATGCTTTCAGTTCTTTTTGCTCTTCTAACTTTATAGATATTTATTGTGTACCTCCTATATAATGGAAAGGTTTTTTAAATAATTGAAATAATTTCATCAAAACAGAGTAAGAATTCACTCTGATTATAATTATCACTAAAACAATTTGTTGATACTCAGGAAAAAAAACTGCTATATCTTATTCATAAAAATCTGTTTTGTAATGTGCATATCATATTTCACAATTGCTCTGAGTTGTATCTTCACGCCAAAATGTACTTAATTGCTCCCATCTGGCTTATTCTCTTGGTCCTAGAAAAACTGCTTCAACTGAAATCACTGCTAATGTTCTTATAATTTTAAATAGCAGACTTCCAATATTAATATAGCAACTGATTGGCTATATTAAAAAACAATTTAAAACTCCATCTGGAGTCAAGCTCAGAATTATGACTCTTGTCTTCCATCCAGCCCAGCATGTACTCTGGATCCAACTTATCTGCTTTTTGGCACAAATTCAGACACTTGGTGGGAAGTGAAAAATATACTTCAGTTCCTAGGAAAATAAGAGTTACATGATGGTGGCTAAGTTGAGGCAACCAATCTGGGGAAATACACTGCTGCTTAAAGATGGTGATAACTGCTAAAAAAGAAAAAAGGCAGGGAAAGAGAGATAAGTGGAAAAGAAAGAAGCAAACCAAAAAAATCCACTGAAGAGTGAAGAAAAATATTGCTGATGATTTTCTTGTTTTGTTATTTCTATCTCAATATTACTTGTAGTTTTCACAATGCTTTTTACATTAATCTTCTAATATTTTTTTATTCAAACAGTTTTCATGAGTTGTCAATGTTCTCTATACAACTTTCTTGCAGCCAATTTAAAGACAATTTGAATATGGCTTACATAAGGAGAATTTTAACATTTCCAGATACTTCCAGAGAAAAGGAATAATGAAGTCATTATTATCTGTCATTCAAAACTGTATTTATTCCCTTGGCTTTCATGAAAGATAAAATTTTACTTCCCTGTGCATACATACTTGAGATAATCAGAAATATTGAAATACACATCTAACATATATTAGCTTAATGAATTAATTAATTTATGGGAAGGAGCATTCAAAGTTATTAAGAACACTAAGAACACAGTCATGTGTCAAACAGGCCTGGATTTGAGTCCTAACTCTGCCAATTAATAGTTGTGTAGCACTGGGTAAATGACTTAACCTTTTTACACATTAACTTATTTATGACATACTGAACATAGTTTCTGTCCCAATGGAAAAGATGAAAAGAGATAGGGCTCAGCAGAGAGCCTGGAATATTGTACATAATAAAATAGTTACTATTAATATCAGTAGTAATAATTATATTAATAATTCCTAAAATTCTTTAATAGATGAAAAGATTCATAAACTTCATATTAATCAAAACTCAAGCACCTTATTATCTCTCTTTATGGGCACAGAGTAGTTAAAAATACAATGGGCTCAGTAAATTTTATCTCTTGATACTACCATAACTCTGAGTGACGCTGAGCGAATTCTCTGACCACTCAGGGCTTATCTTAGATTTCTCACTAACAAAATGGATGAGTTCTTGTCTTGTCGTTAAGAATTCATCTAGCACTTTAAAGTTAGAATTGCAATGGTGAGGGAAATAGGCATCCCTAGGTTGGAGCTAAAAGAGCAGTTACTCCAGGTTCTCCTAGATCTTCTTATCTGCTGAAAGTAACTCTGATAGTGACTGAGATGGTTCCAAAAATGAAACAAAATTAATAAATTCTACCCAATAATCAATCTTGCCTGTTCCCCTTTCATACAAACTGCATGAACAGTCTACCAAGCTCATTTTGAATATATTTCTGCTGTGTATTCATATTGAAGTAAGACATGCACATAGACAGGGTGATAGAAACTTGTCACAAGCCTATGTGAATTAGCTTACGTTTACATGGACTCCTCTTGTCCTTTTCCTAGAAATCTTGTTTTTTTTTTAATCTGTATATAGTTTCCATTAATAGACACACTCTGAAAAAGGGAAAACATTCTCAGAAAAACTACAAAATCATCTCAAATATTTCAACGTTGTGAACTACTGTCAAGCTGTAGTAAACCATGGATACTTCATTTATCAGAAAGTAATTTAGTTACTAAATACTTTCAACTGAAATTTCTCCAGAAAAAATTCAGCTACAGCTGCTGAATGAAAATATATGAAGCTCTTTGGATTCTATAGGCTCAGTTAGTTAATGATAAAAGCCAAATTTTAAAACTTAAAAAATCATGTAAAATTCTGTGAAAGGTATTCAATCCATGGCACAGTGTGTTTAAAATAATGTTCTTATTTCACTTTACTAGATTTACACAGACCAATAAGAACACATTAATCTTAGTATTTTAAAGTGCTGATGGGTCAAGACCTGTATAGTATGCACACAGGTGTTTGGAAGCTAGTATCTCCTGCTTTAAGTAAGTACAATTTCAAAGTTAAAATGATAATCTGATCTAATGGTTAAAATCAGCCTTTTAAAACTGCCTCTATAAATAATATCTCTCTGTATATTCTTCACACAACAACCACTCAACCTTTACTTAGTATTTCCTTCTCTGGATTGCTAATTTCATAAACCACAGGCTTCATTTAAGCTCAGAAAGTAATGATTAGTTTGTTTTTCTCTCATATGTAGTGTCAGCCTTTAGGGTGCAATAACTGTATATCAAATAAATTTAATATCAAATAAAATAAAGATAATTTCCATTTTATAAGATCTTCTTTGTTTGATGCTATTCATCAGTACAGTTTCCTGGGAGGTATACTTAGTGATCAGAGGTGTACTAAGTAGCATTAATCAAACAGATTCATTGCTGTATATCAAGACTGATTCTATTGGAAATTATCACTCTGCAATTTCTATCTCCATGGGAGCAACCAACAATCTCGAAGAAGTTTTCAGGTTCTACATACTGTCTAAGATGAAGACTAGTCTGAGGATCATACAGATAATGGTGTTTGTGTGGTCATGGGAGGAAAAATACTCCATAAGATCAAGACCTTCTTCATCATTTTATAATTCAGCCCTTCAGCAAGGGTTATGAAGAAAAGCAAAAAGGTCAGGATCTTTTCCAAAACCAGATAAATAGTTGGTGGTTAGCATTTATTAGGGCTTACTATTTGTCTGACACAGTATTCCTTGGGTTATATCATTTCATGTTCCCAACAATTCCCTATGAAGTTGGTAGTAGTAGCTCCACATTTACAGATAAGTCAACTGAAGCTGAGAGAAGTTTAGCAACCTCCCCAAGGTCGATGGTACCTAGAAAATGGCAGATGGGATTTGAACCAAGTAAAGATCTGAATACCACCTCCAACCTATATCTCCTGAGAGGAAAGGAATATGACATGTTAAGACACTGACACAGATCATTATTATATGCATTTAGCTTTCCATATCATGTCAAATACTACCCTCCAATATTTTGGGGTCCTTAATACCTTAGAAAGAAATTTTGTGTCTTTCTTATCCCCTGTAGGAAATCGACAACTCAGAGTTTGCAGGGGGAGGGGTGTGAAAAAGCCAAATATACAGAGGAGAATCCAGGAAACTGTACATCATATTCTCTGAAATAATTATGCCAGCTGTGTTAGTATTCCTTTTTACCTCAGAAAAAAGCCTAGTCATTTGCATATGTCTACTGTTTTTTGTTGTGTGTTTTTTTTTTTTTGCTAGCTATCCCTAATCCTCACTTCTACCCTACCCTTCAGGCTTCACATTTATATTTTTATATATAGCTATATAGAATGATACATATATCTACATATATCATGTCAAAGATTATTATTTCCTAAGAAAATGAGAACATCCTAAATAAAGCCAAGTATATAACCAATGTACCTTACACTTGGGACATATAAAAGTTAAAAAATGACTTCACAGTTTTAAAAGTAGGTTATTGTTCTAATAGAATAAAAAAAGAGAAAACCTACAATATTTTTTCAGTAACTTTGACTTTCTCCACATGTGAATTTTGTGCCCAACATTAACTGAAGGCTTTTTAAAATTTTTTTCATAAAACCCTGCCTTTTGTGGGCATCCCTTTCCTGAATTAGGAGAAAAAGCTGATTCCTTTTGCTGAGAAAAGGGAATTTAAAACACTGGCTTTGGGCTTAACTTTGAAATGAGATTTTAGGAGCTGAAGAACTCCCAGATCCATGACATCCAATAATGTCACAGTAAAACTCTATCTTACCTTATTACCTTGCATACCGGGGGAGCCCATTAAACCAGAAAGGCCTTGATCACCCTGAGAACAAAACACAAGAGGTTTAATATTGTGAAATTGAACTGAAAATTAGAATTCCCTTAATGCAGGATTTCATCATGGATGTAAAAATCTTACTGCATTCATTTCTGATCTTCACAATCTGGCTCAACTTCCACCTCGTTTCTGAGACTTGCTGAGACGTTTCCGGGAGGCTCCCAGCTTTTCTCTCTCCAGTGCTGAACACCTGCACTACACCTCCCCACCTCCAGGCCCCTGCAACTTTTTCTCTTAAGTTCTTTTCTCTAGGAATGCCCTTACTCTCCAAATTCCTGTCGTTCCAAGGTTTACTGTATTAAAAAAATCTAAAGGGGTTTACTTAAAAACTCTACAAGCACTCTGCACAGTAGCCTGGGGGGCTCAGGCCTTCCCCATTAGTTTCACATGGTGCACCAGGAAAAGGGTCGTTTCCGCTTCCGGGCTTCACTGGCGCTTTCTGCTCTCACAGTTCCGCTTTCAGTTATGAAACTGTCCTGGGGACCCGTGTGTGTGACTACAGCAGATTAGACTTTACCTATTAGGGACGCCACCCGCCATAACATTAATGAGGGCCTGCAAGCCCATCCTGTGGTAGGAGGACAAAGTGAACCTGTGAGGGCAAAGGAGTGTCTGTGGTAGTAAAGTGACAATAGGAGAGACAGGAGACTGTGTGAATTGACAAGGAAAAAACGTCAAAAAGAAATGGGGGGAACATCTTGAGCTAGTTTTCTCCAAGTTTGCTTTTTCTTTACCTCCCTTCCTCTCCCTCTTTCTGCTGCAACAAATTTATCATGTGAAAAAAAAGTTTGAAAGAAAAAAGAGTACTTAGGTAATAATCCTAAGTAAACTCCTCTGTCTCTTTATATTCTCTTTAATTTATAAGTCATTACCTACTTTAATATGTCACCTAATTAAACAAGCACAAGGGAAAAATGTGTTTCCATTTATACAAATATGCTTCTTCCCAACATTTTATTAAGATGGCTTCCATTTGCCATGGGATGACTAGTTTATACAGATAGTTGTATTTTCTTTTTTTATACATTATTACTCTGACAGAGGAAAAAGAAAACTGCATTAGGAAACAGGAGACTGGAGGCCTATCTTCCACTAGATCTAAGCATGGGTGGATCAGGTGATTTCCCTTCAAAATTCCTCCCTCTGAAAAATGAAAATAATAATACCTCACCTTTCTTAGGGAAAGGAAAAATTACCACTATTTGAAAATTATATTTGCATGCCACTAAGGTCCCTAAGGACTTAATCATGTATGTATGTTCTATGTTAAATATTACTTAGTGGATGTTACATGCTAAAGGACTAGTTCCTGCATTTCTTTTATTGCTTTATCATTGACCATGTAGTTATTGCAAAAATGGCTAAATGATTCAAAATAAAACACAATTGTTTCTCAATTGCTCTGTACTCCCACCAATTTAATGTTTGTATTTTAAATGTATTCATATTGTACATACAACATCCTTGGTATATCTGAATGCAATTTAATGTATATATAATTTCCTTTAAATATTTTAAAATTTTACCCTCTTAGAAGTGTATCTCTCAACTTCAAAAGCTGGATTGCATTTAAAGTTCACTGACAACATACTATAAATCCTATAACTTAGTACATTTCTCCTATATAGTATTAACCACAATTTGTAAATAAGTAACTCAAAAAGTAAAAAAAGACTGACATACTTGTAAGCCTCAACTCCCATGCTGAACAACCCTATATTTTATACAGATACTATACACATACTGAACCTCCCTGTATTTTGTACAAAGAAGCCTCAAGGAAAGATAAAACTAAGTATATAATATAAATGTGAATGCTTAATTTGGGGAGTTTATTTAAAGCAGTCACCAAAACAGAGTGGGCCTCTAATTTCTAAGTTTTCACTATGAAATTTTTTAAAATGTCCCATATTTAGATATTTAAAAAATGGTATTTATGTTTCTTTCCCAAATTATGGGATTTTTTTCCGTGCAGTAATTAAGGAACCAATGACAATATTGTGTTTCTAATAATAAACTTTTATTCTCTTTCCCAGTTATTCAGATTCAGTAAATTCAGTTCCACCACAGCAATAAAATTCTTAAGATTATAGATTAAAAATTTTTTAACATGTTTAGTATAATATCTGCAAGGTCCATTAATATAATGTGATTTTTTTAAGTTTACAAGAATTCTGCAAGCCAATTAAATCATCAGATTTCACCCCAAGAACCACCAAAATTATTCAGGGATTTTAGAAGTTTCTGAATGTATACCACATCAACAAAAACACCCTATAATTGTATCCCATTCATCAAAGGCTTGTCTAAATAAAGCTTCCCAGATGTTATGTTATTTCTAAAGAGTCCATTGTATTCATCCTCATTGGAAAATGGTATCCTCCTAATAACAATTTTATTGCTACCTTCACTTTAAAACATTAGTTGTTTTTTTTTTTTTTTACTAAGTGTGTGTGTGTGTGTGTGTGTGTGTGTGTGCGCGCGCACGCGCCCGCATGTGCTTAAGAGCATTTTGATTAAATGAAAAGCATACTGGACTAAAAGTCAGAAAACATAAATACATCATTAACTCTGCCACTTATTATCCATGAGTCATTTAAATTCTATGAATTGTGTTTTCTCAACTGGAAAACAAGATAATAATGACTATAGGACTTAAATAACATAAAGTATGTAGAACTGTCCTTTAAAAGGTGTAAAATGGCACTGGAATTTATATATTATTGTGTGCATGCATATAAACAGCAAATTTTTGAGGTTAAGACCACAGCCTACTCTAATTTTTGTCCCATCCATTCCTAATTAGCAGGAAGCACAATGTCAGGCCACAGTAGACAATAAAAGTAATGTTAAGATTTAAGTTGATAAATTAAGTTTACAATATAATTTACTTAATTTTTCAAATATTTCTTCCTTCATTAAAATCTACTAATTCTGTATCTTACCTATCTGATATCAAGTAAAATCTACATTTAGAAAAGATAAAAATAATTTTTAAGTGCTTAAAATTTATCATCATGATTTTATTTCATGAACAATTACCTTTTCTCCAGAAACAGCTTGACCTGGGGAAAACCCCGGATCTCCTTTGGGGCCCTAGAAAAAACAGTTATAAAACACTTTGGTGAAGCATAAATTATATACGGTATATCATACTTCTTCAGATGTATGCATCATCAGATGCTACACACATTATATGCTATTAAAATTATTTCAAATTGAGATGGTCTAGGATTATTTATTTCTTCAATGTATATTTTTCTTAGCCTTACTTTAAATACTGAGAAGAATCCCAGATATTCCCCAGACATAGCTGATTTTTCAAATCTAATAAAGTTATATTGCTATTGAAACACCTTTCTTTAAGGGACCTAATAATGGCTCTATTAACTTTCCCATTTTTGTGACACATTGAATTATAATTCCTATTTTAGCATTAGAAAACTGGCAACTTTTAGTAAAAGAAAACTGCTTATAGTAATTCTTAAAATTTTAATACATCACTCCAAGTTGAAATATTTTTCAAAATCTTGAAATGTATATGCATTACTTTTATACTAAAGAGAAAAATAACCAAATAAACTCCAATTGTCAAAATTCTTTTTCATTCTCTTATAAAAATAAGTATTTTTATACTCTGGGAATCTATCTTTTTCATTTCAAGAGAAACATACATTATGTTTCAACAAAATTTTTTGTACAGTATTAATCTTTTTTATTATACATACTGGCAATGCATCTCTTTTTCTAACTATTTCACATCTCATAAAATTAAGAGACCACAGCTGAGACTCTTTATATGATTAAAATTCTGATTTCCTTATCCCTTTCAACTAACAAATAATTTTCCATTCCTACAGAGTTATAAATACTCTTTTTACTCTATGGGAAATAGGCAAATAGGTCTTCTTTCACAAATCCAGGGATGCTTTAAGATAGCACTCTCACTTATGAAAAGAAGGAAGACCAGACAAAAACTTCTTGGTGTTCTCCAAGACTTTTGCTTTACAAATTAGAAATGAGTCACTGGCAAAGAGTCCTATGTTCTAGAGTTGAAGAAAATTTTTAAAGAAATGGTTGTTTTACATGCTGACCTCTTTCCTTCCATTGCTGTCACCACTTCTACCACTACAGCTATAATTTTAAATCATTGATCACAAGATTATGGACCTGAGAAACAAACAGCTTTAGTGATCTCTCAATACATAGGAACTCAACACTTTATTTTTTTTAAAGTAATATATTTAGAATTTATAAGAGATATTAAAGCATATCTAGTAAGTCACAGTTTATATCTAAAGAAACAATCAGTTCTAGAAAGGTTAAATAACTTGCATAAGATTGCTTAGTAAAGAATTAGCAAACCAGGTCATTTTTTTCTGATACTACAACGTCTATGAAATAAAAATTGTATTTGTAGGCTTTAACCTTTTATTATAAAACCTTGCCAATTGTTTTGAGGCAGTATTTACAAAAAACTTAAAAAGAACTTTAAAAATTATAGCCCTTGAATAGTTTAAATACAATAAAATCCTCTGTGGCCAATGTTGCTAACTTATAAATCTCATATTAAAATTTCTTATTTTTAGGTTCTATCTGAATTTTCTATTATCTATCAGCCTCCTTAATACCATCAACTAACTTAATATTTCATCCTCTATTTAAAAAATAACTCAAGGAGTGGGCAAAAGTAATCCACTTTGCAATAAATAGACTTAAAGACAGAGCTTTATCTTATTCATAAGCTTCAAATATCTGGGCAACCTATTTAAAGAGAGATATGTCAAATCTCTTTTATTCCCACACAAATATGCTTGAGTTAATTGATCAACTCATGTTCTAGAACTAGAATTACAAGTCAGCATGACAGAAATGCTCTTAACCTGGTCAGTTGTGGACTGATCCTTCTCAGGATAAAATAAACGCATGAAGCAGAGATTACTGAACATGCCAACTTGTCCTGAAATTTCAAAGAAGCAGGGCATTTTTCTCTGCTTTGAAGAATACTCCAGACTTCCTTACTTTCTCTTTCATTCTGTATTAATTCTATGACTCCTGATACACTCTTATAATACCTGATTGGCTTTTCAAATCCTCCTTGAAATTAAACATAATGTTTATAAATTAATCATAATTGACTTTGGCTTTCAATACTGACTTCTACTTATTCTTATATGGCTTTTGTTAAAGGAGCTGTATATCCTACTGAGTATAAATAAGAGGAAAAGGAAGTTGCCAATGCTTTATTACTCAAAGGATTCCAAAAATCCCACCTATCCTTACTTTCATAGTCTAAAATCCTTACTTTCAGAGTAGATCTTTTAGACTGTTATTGAATCTCCAGAGGGCCTTTGGTCTAGGGAGGGAAACTCCCTAAGGTACTAGACCCATTAACACATTGGAAAAGATTTATCAGATTGCAGTCAACCCAATACGATAGAAAGAGAAACAGGATTTGGAGTGAAAAGACTGCTCTGAATTTGGCATTTCTCCTCTGTAAAATGGGAATAATAATAATAATACCTATCTAGATTAGCTTGCAAGATGTAGGATCATAGTTTCTATGAAGATAGTAGTAGTTGGTATTAAAAATAACAAGACTAAAAAGACAATCGTTACAATCAATTTTACAATTTTTACTATCTTGAAAAGCAGAGAACACAACTCGAATAAATTATTGAAGGAGAAGCAAAATTTTAATGGGAAAGAATTTGGAATTGAAAAATACATAGTACAGATGAGCTAAACTGGGAGAGGATCATAAAGGAAATATTAAATGACATGATCTTGAGGTAGCATCACTTGAATAGTCTTGACTTTATTACTAATAACTACATAAGATTCATAATCTCAATTTTAAGTATTACACTCTCTAACACTTCCTATCTTTTGAGTTTACTCTCCTTAAGCCCCTATAACTTTAACAATTTCTTGACCCACTGGAACTGTAAATTTGTTATCCCACCATATTTTCACTTTCATCAACCACATGGCTTCACTTCTGGTCCTTAGTCAGCCTAAATACCAGGATTTGACATAATCACTTTACTGCATGCATATATGACACCTTTACTTCTTTCTCCATTTTATAAGCTTACCTGGCAATTTTTCAATCTCAGCTCTCCATGTACTCTGCCTCTGTCCCCTAGCAGTTGAATGTGACTAAGCAAAAACAAATCATGCTAACAAATCTCACTTTAAATTTATAACTTCTTACATGAACTGGTTTTGATTCATTTTGTTTTGTTTATTGGTGTGTCCAAAAATTGCCTTAGTCAACCCACTTTCCCATTTACATAGATAATAATTTCACAATGTCTCTCATTTTTACTCTGAGCTAATGGACTTGCTTTCAACTTTCACAAGCTCTCACAACCAAATCCACTACTTTTAAATCTGCTTCAAAGTACTCTGCCTTCAGAATCAAACCCACCATTGTCTTGCACCAGGACATGACTGGCACTGTGTTCCCAAATTTTTGTTTCTCTTTAGCAAAATTGTCATCACCAAGTAAACACACTTTAATTTCTCCTATTTTAAACAACTTTCCTTGAGCCCAGAACTCCCTTCTCTACTCCATTACACCATTCCTTTTCAAAGCAAAACTCCTAGAAAATGTTCAATGTTAATTAGGAGACTTCCTCTTTTTTATTCTCTCTTGGACCCACTCCACTCAGGCATTTGTCCCTAACACTGTCCTAGCTCATTGGTCATTCTTTCTCTTTATCTTTTGCTAGTTCCTTTTCTTGCTAATATACTAAACTCTGGAGTAACCCAAGACTAAGTCCTTGGATTCTTCTCTCCCCTCTCTACATTGATGAATATGTGATTTCATTAGCACTATAGCTTAAATTCCATATATACACTGACAACTCTGAAATTTATATTTTTAGCTATGTCATCTTTCCTGAACTCCAGATTCCTATATCCATTTTATGTCTTCAGTTTAATGTCAAACAGTCATCTCAAATTGAGTATGTCCAAAAAGGAACTCTTGGGAGTTCTGGTTCAGATAGTGGCAGAGTAGCCATTATTATTATGTGGCTAATCCTCCTGCAGACAATAATTACAAAGGATAATTATCAGGAAAATATACATAAAACAACATACTTGAATGTATAATACAGCAATCAAAACAGGACATATTGGAGGGAATTCAACTCTTGAAAGAAAAGAACACCACTTGGTATAGTACAAATTTATACAAATCTCTTCCTAATGACACTCCCCACTCTGCACAGAGTAACTAGAATTCAAGCAGAAAATCATAGGCCATTTGGCCAATGGTGTCACTGGGCTACCAGAATTACTGTAAAGTGAGGGGAAAGTCAGTGAAGATTAAAGATGGCAGCGTGAGAGGAGAGACAGAGGCTTCCTCCTAAAACTGGATACAATTAGAAAACATACTTGGCGCAACTAATCCTGAGAGAGCAGCAGGAAAGAGGATGGCTCCAGACTGCATATACCTGGAGAAAAGAGCAGACCTCACAGAACAGGGTAACATACCAAAGCTATGGCTCAGCAGGACCCAAGCCCTTCCCCTACCCCAGCTCACTGGCAGGAGGAAGAGAAATGGAGCAGGGAGGGAGTGGAAGGCCTGGGACTGCTGAATACCTAGCTCAGGAGGTCTTCTCTGGGAGCACTAACCTACATTTCATGGTGCTTTCATGATACTCATATGATTACCGGGTTGGAAAGTTAATACAGGCAGAATTCCTGGAGGGACTGAGATTCCAGCCACTTGTGGAAAGCAGGGATTCATATCTGGCTGCTCTGGGACAAAAGCTTATACCTGTGTGCTCGGCCAACTGGTTAAGGCAGTGGACAGTCACAGCATCCGGGAGGCGGGGAACAGCTCTTTCCTCCCCCCAGGCACCAGTACTGCTCCCCTGCAACCCCCAACATTGCTTCAGGGGCAGCGCAGCTCCAGAGTAGAGCTTCTAGACACTAGAGGGCACCATATACAAATATGAAACGCAAAAGGAACGTGGCTCAGAGTAAAATTAATATAACTCCAGAGAAAGACTTAAATGACATGAACCTTACAACTCTTCCTGAAAGGGAGTTCAAAATAAAAATCATCAACATGCTAATGG